TCATAGCGGAGAGAACCTTTTTTATACAAGTAAACTTGTCATATTCTCTGATTACTTAAATACGATTTTGCTATGAAGCCAACAGTTGGCTCCATAATAGAACCAACATTCTATATACATCACGTAAATCATACCATATTCTCTGATTACTTAAATAGCATTAATAATTTTATTAATATAGTATGATTTATTTGTTGTATATAGAAGGTTGGCTACACTATAGAGTCAACTGTTGTCTTTATAGCAAAATCGTATTTAAATAATTAATATGATGTGATTTACTTGCTGTATATAGATGGTTGACTCTACTAGTGAGTCAACTGTTGGCTTCATAGCAAATAGATATATAAATGGATAATCGTCTATATTTAATCCCCCTCCCCCCTATATATTAATCCAGAACGCGCTAAGCCTGCGTGTCTGCTTCTGGTGCTTCGGAATCCTACGTGGCAAAATTACATGCTTCGTTATTAGGCTTGGGTAAATTTTAATTTAATTCCAAATCAAAAATAATTAGGTTTGGATTACCATAAATATGTTGATTATTTATGGTCATGTTCCATGTATTAATTGCATTTTAATATCATTCCTTATTATAACTATTGAATTGTATATATATATTTTAAAAGTTAATAACTTTTGTATTTTTTATCAGTTTTACATATGTAATATATCAAATTAATCTTCTTTTGATGAGCTTCGATTTAACATCCATATTGTATGTATAAAAAAATAATTTATATTTATCTTTATAACAATAATAAAATTATTTTTAATATTAATTAGAAAAATAAAATTAATTATCAACTAACTAGTGTGTATCCCGTGCGATGCACGGACGGATTTTTTACTTAAAACATTTTCTAAGACTTTATATTAAACATAGTTATTTATGTTTAACATCTCATTATTGTAAAAAAAGAAATACCAAATATGAAAAATTATATAATATTATTTGAATATAATGAGTATCCCCAACTAAACTAATAACATCAAACATTAGATATATCATAAAATTAATTATATGATCATCATACTTTTTGGAAAAAAACTCATCAATTAAGTTGAAATACCACTACAAGAAAATGATGAAATTCCAACGGAAATCTATTCCAAAAGAATTATTCCAACGGATATTTCAATACTATTATTTTCATTAGAAGTTTTCAATGGATTCCAACGGAAATTTCAACAGAAATATTTTGTTGGAATGAGTTTTCCATTGGAATTTCCGTTGGATTTTGACGGTTCCAATGGTGGATTTTCCAACGGGGGTGGAAATAAAAATCCAACAGAATTTGCATATTCCAACGGAAATTCCTACGGTAAAAAGCCGTTGGAAATATAGTCGTTGGAATCATGAAATTCCATCTAAAATTCCAATGATAAACACATTCCAACGGAATATTTCCGTTGGAATTTCCGTTGGAACTATTCCAACGAAAGTTATACCATTGGAATATCCGTTGGAATTTCCATTGGAATATATTACCATAGGATTTTCCGTTGGAATATAACAATTATTTTGTAGTGTACCCGAATATAAAAAATAATTTATGATATTATTGACCATATTTACCCGTTGTATTTAAAGATATCATTGACCATATTTTTATGACTTAAGGTTTACAAAATATATTTTTCAAAATAACAATTTTTTTCTTTAATTTGAATTTGACCTTTTCATCCAGCCGATATTTTCCACAAAAAAAAATAGTATTTTAGAAAATTTTCGACGTGAAAATCAATTAAAATTAATTCAAAACTAATCGATTAATTTAATATTGTTCAAAATTGTTTGATTCGGTCATAATCAAATTCGATTGAGCTTATCAAATGAAATCAGAATTTATACCTAAAATAGTATACTTTTTGTTTGATTTCCCACAACAAAAAAGGTCGTGCTTATCACCTTAAACCCAATCCAACCTATTTTAAATTTTAAATATATAGTAAGCAAATAGTAGATGTGATCTTCAGTATCCAATATTAATTTGAATTGTTTTAAATAAGCAAAATTTTGAAATAATTATTTGCATACAAAATATTAAAATCGAATATGTTAGAAATTGTTTCTTTAATAAAAGAATCTTTTCAAAACATATCCAATATTAAGTTGAATTGTTTTAAATAAGAAAAATTTCGAAATAATTATTTGCATACAAATATTAAAATCGAATATGTTATGGAATTGTTTCTTTAATAAAGGAATTTTTTTTCAAAACATATCTTACATTATCTTTTTAAAACAATAGAAATGATTTTCAAACGTATCCAAAAGAAATCTGTTATGTAGAAGATAATATATCATATTCTAAAGAACCCATATTTTTATGGAATTGTTTCCTTAATCACATCCTAAAAAAAAGAAGAAATATATTTAGTTAGGCTTATTCTAAAAATCGGATTTAACCAATAAATATATACCAAATCCTAACCTAAAAAATAGGAAGTTAAAACATATGGAATTGTTTATTTAATAAAGGAATCTTTTCAAAACATATTCAATATTAATTTGTCAAATAGTAAAAAACGAATTTCACAAAAAATATTAACCAAATCTCTTCATAAAAGGAAGGAGTTAAAATAGGGAGAAATTAACCAAATCTATTCCTAAAAAAAAGGTGCTAAAAAATGTGTGTAATAATAATATGAATTTTGTTTTTTTTTTCTATTCAAAATCAAATCAAAAACTTTAGGCGGGATTTGTGAAATAAATTCAAAAAAAGTTTCCACAAAAGGTAATTTTCGAAATAATTGAGCGGGAAAAAAATTAACGAAATTGTATTTTTTTTAACTCTATTTTATAGTAATAGATAAAAAAACGAAAAGCAAGATAAATAAAATGTGTCAAATAAAAAATCGGATGTAAAAAAAAGGTAACAAATATAAGCCTAAACAAAGGGAGTAAGAATAAGCAAAAAAAAGGAAGAATAATCTCAATCCAATTTTCATAAATCTATTACAAAATCGAATAATTCATTTAGGCGGGAAAAACGAAAAAAATGAAAAAATCACATACATTTTCAAAATGTTTTGGAGGGAAAAACACTTACCAAAAATTTATTTTTTCTTAACTCTATTTTATAATAGTAGATATATTTATATTTCAAGTAGTTATATGATATAAGTTATAAAAACTAATATAAAATAACACATGTAAGCCATAAGTAACACATATCATTCTAAAATATATAGTAATATATTTTTCTTGTAGAAAAGTAAATTAAATTTAATATAATTTTCTCATTAATTTTAAAATTTAAGAATAATTTTTTAACAAACACCCGTGTAATACACGGATGTTGTACTAGTGTTCTCACTACACTACATATCAATCTCTTTATTTTATTTTATTTTAAGTTTTACTATTACTTAGTATATATCTTGGTTCTCGAAAGAGTTGACACGTTGATAAGTAGAGAGTAGGTTCTATAATGAAACTAGATACATATATTGGTGCATACAATGCAAAATATTAATTGCGAAACCTTCTTTTATTGAAATACATAATTACATGGTGCACTTAAACAATTTGCCCGACAACATTATCCGCTCAAACATTAAATAAACAGGTAATAAAAATTTATATGCGCTTTTACTTTCCAATTAAAATTTTGTCCAATCCAAAGTTCATCTCACAATAATAGCTAGTTGTCATTTTTGAATAAATATATATATATATATATATATATATATTTTATCTGACTGAGCGATTATTTTTTTAGATAAATCGACTTGTTTTAATGTCGTTATATTAAAATTTCTTAAAATCTCATATATATGCAATAGGTATAGTAGTTCAATATTTTTTAACTAATTAATTGGTCTTGACCTTTCAAAATTATATTATTTATTATATTCTATGTTGTCAATATTAGGATTCATATGCAATTAAATTGTTATGCACTATATATTGTAACCAATGATCGAATTTAAAAACGTAAAACATTTATCTAATTTATAATTTTTAAAATTTATACATACAAATAATTTATAGTAATTTATTACATATATGCAAATGCAGAGAGTTGATACTAGTTAAATAGAGAGCCTAAGTGAACAATTACTAAGGAAATTATTGTTTCTTTTTCCGCATGAAATACATTTTCAGTTGCTGTCACAACTATTAATCCCAATAATTTTGGAGTAAACAGTTAGGGCAAGAAAATAATAAGAATGTTATGGTCTCGTTACGGAACTATTTTGGCGGGTTTGTAATTATTAGATCATCATATAATCGTCAGGTATCATTAATCTAACGATTGCAAATCTCGAATGGTTCCGTAACAAAACCGTAGCATCTCCCGATAATAATTACTACTAGTAATTACTACAAAAGAAACTAATGAGAAATGGAAAATAATAAGGACGACAATGAGCCATCAAACACATGGCACAAAAAGGCTGCAGCTAAAAAGCAGCTGCCATCCAAATTTCTTTTTCATGCAACTCCAAGGTCAACTCAACAAGAAACCCTCTAAAAGGGCCAAGCATGAAAAGTAGGAACTAATTTTTTATTTTTTCTGTCTATACCATATATATATATATATATATACACACAGAGAGAGTAACCAAATCTTCCCCAGAATCAAAAACCCACAGAATTTGCACCCACAACAACAACACCATGTCAGGACCTTTATGCAAAAATCCAGAGTTGCAAAGCATAAAGGAATTAAAGCATTAATTAATTCTTAAGCAAATTATATATAAGGGAAATGTTACAGTTTCCGTTACGGAATCATTTCGTCGGGATCTATATAACCGTTAGATCATGTAACCGTCGTGTATAGTTGATCTAAACCCGACGGAATGGTACCATAAACAGGACCGTAGAATCTCCCTATATAAAAATCCAAATTTAAACGAATACATGATAACTCAACTATAAATAGATATATAATAAATCTGGAATCATATTATCACAAGCAATTGCATGCTGAAACTGCGGTTCGATTGCGTACATGATGATGAAGTGCAAAATAAGTAGCAGCAGTTCAACCTAGTTTAGCAGCAAACAGATTAAGGGCTTCCTGATAGTGGACAATATCTCCCACCATTCCACTCGATGCAGTAGTACTGTTTAACTGAGGCCCTTCACTACTGCCATTACTATGCAAATTGCTGCTGCTCGAATAATTATACTGCGCCGAAAACTCGTTATCCGAAGAAGCGTGTTTCCTCTTGGCTTCGTTTGTCGTCTTTGTGCGATCGGGTTTCGGGAAGAATCCTTTCAGAACTTCCTCCAACAAACCCGAACCACCCGACTTCTCCGTCGAGAAAAAATCCACCGGCTCCGAATTGTTGTTATCTTGAACTTTAGACAAATAGTTTGGAGTCAGTAAAGAGCTGGTCGTGTCCGAAAATAAGGTGGTCGGAGCTAATAAGGTCGTGTTGCACGAGAGCTTTGGGAAATGGTAAGGGTGCAGAGAAAATGCGGCGGCGGTCGGGGTAATGAGGTCGGTGGGGGATTGGGGATATATTTTTGAGTTGAGGGCAAAGGTGTTCCTCAAGCCCATGGTGGGCGGCTGAGAGGACGGCGGCTTTGGGTACACGAAGTTGGTCCGCGCCTTCACGCCGCGCATGGCGCGGGCGGCGCAGTCGTAGGCGCAGGCGGCCTCCTCGGCCGTGTCGAAGGTCCCCAGCCACCGCCGCTCCTTCGACTGGGGGTCGCGGATCTCCGCGGCGTACCGACCCCAGGGGCGGCGACGGACGCCGCGGTAGCGCATAGCGGGGGGTTGGGAGGCGGAGGAGGAGGCGGCGCGGCGCTTGGTGGCGGGGGGGTGGGGATCGGAGTCGCGGCAGAGAGTGCCGTTGAGCCTTCTCAGGGCTTCTTCCATTTGGGGTTTGGCTTGAAAATGTAGAGATGAGAGAGAGAGAAGGAGGAATATTTATGGGGAAATTAAAATGGGAGAGCGAGAAATGAGAGAGACGAGGAGTTGTTTTGTACCTCAAACCGTGTGTGCTTCAGAGCGTGGGGGTGGCTGTGTATTTATATTCAAAATTTCACACACAAAAATTTAATGTTTCTTTTAATTTCAATTCTTACTAAGCAACTGTTTTCTTTCTTTTATGTATTTAATATTTTGCTAATGTGAAGAGCCGTGAAAACTAGCTAGTGTGGATAGGGGTGTTCACGGTTTGATTTATAAAAAACCCGTTAATTCTGACCGCGGATCGGTTAAATAGTTAGTTAAAAAAGTTTTATAAAATTCAGTGGTTAATTTTTTTAAAAATTTAGAATAACCGATCCGGTTAACGGATTACATGCGCAAACCGCCGGTTTAATCGGACCGGACCAGTAAATGTTAAAAAACTATAACAAATATATATACATTCAGTCATTTACTATGGCCCACAAATAAAATATATTCATTTTCACTTTATGGCCTTTTGCATAATTTAATCTTCATCATTTTTGTATATTTATGTTTACGGGACGAAATGTGTATTTTTATGCTTATGAGACGAATTATGTATTTTTTATTTCATTATTGTTGTTTTTCTTAATTTTTAGGCCCAAATAATCTCTTTTGGGCCCAAAATTGAAAAATAAAAATCAAGCCCAAAATGAAAAAAAAAAAAATTGAAGGCCCAAAAAAAGGATTTTGGATTTAACCGGTTAACCGGCAAACTGGACCGTCCAATGCGGTCCAGATTGTGGCCGGTTAAAAATAAACCGGTCCAATTATGAACAAGAAAAAAATTAAGCGTTAAGTTCGTTTTGGTCATGGTTTTGGCTAAAATCGGACCAATCCGGACCGTGAACACCCTTAGTGTGGGGAAGATACATCATTTGTGGGTCATAAAATAAGGTAAAATACTATTTTATTTTATTTTTATGGTGTCTAACAATTCAGTGTTCAAATAATAAAAAATAAAAAAAATTATTTTAAAATTGATAAAGCTTTTAATTAGAGTATTTGACAACTTTTTAAGAAATGAATTCTCTTAGATTGTGTTTTGAATATACTACAAAAAAATAGAGTTCTAGTGAAAAAAAATTTTGTCACTATATCTACTGTCAGTATATCTACAATTGTTGTCACTATATCTACCATTATTGTCACCATATTTACAATTATTGTAGATATAGTGACAACAATTGTAGATATAGTGACAACAATTGTAGATATATTGACCAAAAAAAAAATCTTCACTAGAACTCTATTTCCTTGTAGGAAAATTTTATTTTTCATTACAACAATTATGATATTAGATAACACGATTTTGTAGTACTTTCTGAATAATTATTTTATGCCCCCTATATATAATTCTCGAATATGCTGAGCCTACGTGGATGCTTCTAGTGCTTCGGAATCCTACTTGGCGAAGAATCATGCTTCGTAATTAGGTTTGGACAAATAATATTTTGATATATTAATAATTAATAATCTAGGTTCGGACATTCCATAAATTATTTAGTTAACTTAGGTATTTTAATATCACATTTACTAATATAACTCTTTAATTCTTTGTAATTTTACATAGAGAGGCACTAAGTGACTAATATATCACTGACTTTTGATTTGCTTCCACAATTAGCTATTGAATTGTAAATGTATTTGAAAAGTTGATAACTTATGTATTTCTTATCGGTTTTACATATATAATATATCAAATTAATCATCTTTTGATGATCTTCAATTTGACATCCATATTGTATATATGAAATAAATAAATTATATTTATGTTTATAATAATAAAAAATAATAATATCTACTAAAATTCATTAGAAAAATAAAATTAATTCTGAATTGATATATTTATGTTCAATGTAGTTATATGTTGTAAGTTAAAAGAATATAATAATATAACACATGTAAGTCGCACAAATAAAAAGTATCATACTAAATATAATAAGGGTTGGGTTCACATGAGAATGGTTATCAATGACAAAAATGAGAATAAATCGTAGTCATTAGATCGGATGATCTAATGGCTAAAAAAAAGTCAAGATTATACCTTCATTAAGTGTATTTTAGACATTACCATTACACATCATTATCCACATTAGCATGCCACATCACTACCCACACACCTACCACACACAAAACACTCGCACACACGCGTTAAACACAAAACACATGCACATGCACTCTGCACACACTTTTCTATCTCTCTCTCTCTCATTTTATCTCTCTCTCTCTCTCTCTCTCTCTCTCTCTATCTCCCTCTCTCTCTCTCTCTCACACACACACACACACGTGTGCGCACACACACCAGCACACACAGCGGTCAGGGGCGAAACTACATTGAGGGTCAGAGAGGCGCCGGTCCCTCCAAAAAAAAAAAAAAAATTTCGAACTAGGGGTGTAGGGTTTTGCTGGAACTGGAAGGGCGCCCTTTGAGCGCTCTTCCGATGCCGGAGTGGGGGTGGTCTGGTCGGAGCTCCGGTCTGAAAGAACCGTCGACGTCGAGGTGGTGCAGCGGCGAGGTGGTGGACGCGCAGGCGCAGCGAAGCTCCACTTTCATGGCGGACGTGCGCTCTCTCGTGAAGAAGAAGGTGATCCCATATTCTCCCATTCAAATTACATATGTACCCTTACTTAAGTAACACTTGGGCTGAATGTGTGTAATAGGCTGCTGCCAATTATTTCTTTTGGGCCTTGTAATAGGGCTGTAAATGCAAGACAACTTATATCAAATTCGTGTCATTAATTCTAAATTCATTCGGTCCCTAGTCGTTTTCAACTCCAATAATTATTTTGAACCTACTTCCTGTCAAAACTCGAATAAAATTAATTAAATATATAATAATTATATAATAATTAATTAAATAACAACTAATTATATATTAAACTACGACGAAACGGACGCATAAATTACTATAAAATACAGGCAGCTGAGCAGGGAGGCATGGAGCCATGGAAGGGAAGCTGGATCGGAAAAAATTTGTGTTTGTGTTTAGTTTTGTCGTGAAAATTTTTTTTAAAGGCAAAATTTGGGTCCTCCCCGAAACGGGATTCTGGTTTCGCCACTGGCAACGGGGCATTCATTTGTCCCGTTTAAACGACACGTTGGCATTAAAATGGATGCGAGCATCTATTACATGATGGGCCACACTTTACATGTTCAATGAGCTGAACGCGTTCACATTTTCTTTAACTTTTTATATTTATTATTTTAAATTAATTGTTTAATCATATTATTTCCTTGTTTTTCACTAACTAATTTTTTTAATTGTACTATTTTTCTTGTGTAATTTTAATTTAAGTTATTTTGGTTTTGTAGCGTTCTTTTATTTTAATGCATTTAAAATTTATTATTACACTTTAAAAATCTTAAATTTGTATTTTATTGAGAATAGAATATTAAGACTTATATTGAATGAGTGGATAATGAGTCTTATATATGTATTTAAATAAACAGATAGGAACGTGAGTGTGTGTTTAAATAGAGAGAGATTTAGTGAAAAGAATGTGGGTATGACATGGATGAGAGAGAGTGTGTGTGTTAATTTTTGATTGAATGAATTGAAGTTGCGTATTATGGTTGTGGATGTCCTAAGTGATTATTCAGAGGAATTGATAAAAAATAATTCACAAATCTTGTCTGAGACGGTTCAACCGTTAGCGGATTGATCTGTCATATTGTTTTAACAGAAATGCATACTTATGTTATGAAATGTAATACTTTTGCTCATGTTGTTTTTAGGCTATTGATTGATCGGAAAAAGTGTGTACTTTATATGTTTATTAGCTTATATTTATATGCTTAGTTTTATCGCACTTATTATTTTTCGACTTATTTATTGTTTGAATGAATTTATTTGCTTTGAGATTTTATTGTTTTATTTTAGGATGTTGGAGTATTTTTACAAAGGACGAGACATCGAAGGAAGATAGAAGCAGGCAGTTCGGGGTGGAATTATTATAATTTGGGCTAATTTGGATTTGGACTCCACAAATAAAATCACGCATGACATGGCTAGAGAAGGGAATTCTAATTTGAGAGCCCATTATTAATTTAATATGGAAAGGGGTGGAATTATTTGAGCCTGGAGAATTAATTAACTCCTAATTGCATTATTTTTTTTTGGGCATCTGGATGTAGCCGTCAATAAAAGGGAGTGCAAAGACATTATTTACGGGGGTGCAAAAGCGGACGCCGCATACACGCAACCAGAAGAGATTATACACACAGCAACAGAGAGAACATACGCAAAGAGACGGGAAATCCAATGGAAGCGGAGGGAAGCCGCACTTGCACACGAAAGAGGATAACTCTATTCTCTTTCTTTTGTTTTTTATTTATTATGTTAGAGTAGATTTTCTTTTTAGTTCTGGGAAAGTTGAACCCTACGATTTGACTCGTCTAAATAAAAGAACACATTGAATAAAAAAAGAAAAAAATCATACCTAAGTTGACGAGAGAGAGTTCCATAGTGATCGTGCGCGAAAGAGGGCGAGAGCGAGAAGGAGATTTCCGAGAGAGGAGGTCGAGAGAGCTGCGAGCAAGTCACGGGCGCGATGAAGAAGAGAGAGGAGAGAGCGGGTCGCGGGGAAGAACAAATTGAAAAAGAAAAAACTGAAGACGAAAAGAGGAAGAGGAAAAATTTAATTGATATTTAAAAAGGCATATTAGTAATTTCATATTTAATATAATATCTTATTAAGTTTTATTGCACCCATTTTGTTAAGGGTCATTTACCCAATTTTTTATATGCACAGTTGAACTAATTCCCACCTACCATCACACACGCCTCTTGTGTGTGTCCTTTCGTTTCTCCTGCTTTAAATTTTTTGATATTCAAAGGAAAAACATCAGATCAAAAGGTTTTATAACAATTTAAAGCAGGAGATAACAATTTAATTCCCATTTACCATCACACACGCCT